ACGCAGCGCGCGAAGCGCGAGAAGCGCGCGCGCGCGCGGTCGCCGCGGCTCGCGGGCGCGCCGAGGTCCCGGCGGCGGCGCGCGGCGCAGAGCCCGACGAGCGCGCGCCGGTCGAAGAAGTCGCGCCGGGGGTCCTCGCGCCCCGCCGCGCGCAGCGCGCGCGCCGCCGCGTCGACGCGCGACCCGGCCCGCGCGTCCTTTTTGGGCCGCCACCACGCGTTGACCGCGACGGTACCGGGGGAGGACTCGACGGCGTGGTACCAGCCCGCGGGGAGCAGGAGCGCCTCGCCGGCGCCGAGCGCTATGCGCGGCGCGTCCCCTAAATGCCGCGCGCCGTGGTTCGGCGCCGCGGCCCAGGGCGGCGCCGCGGCGCACGCGGCGCCGCCCGACCGCGGCGGCGCCAACGCCACGGTCTTCCGCCCCCGGAGGACCGTGAGCACGTTGTGGTCCTCGTCGCAGTGGGGCGCGCTGGCCACGGCGCCCGGCGCGAGCCAGAGGTGGCACGCGGCGCCGGCCCGCCGCGGGACGAACGGCGGCAGCGCGGCCGCGGGTCGCGACCCGTCGGCGACGACGAGGCCCGCGAGCGGCGCGGCGTCGACGCCGTCCGGTCCGTCGACGAAGAGCGGCGCCTGCGCGAGGTAGAGGTGGGCGCCCGCGGCGGCGGCGAGCCAGTGGTCCGGGGCGCCGCCGGCCGCCGCGAGCGACAGCAGGCTCGCGAGCTTGACCGAGACGTCGCGGCGCCGCGCCTCGTCGCCGGAGTAGACGCCCGTGCCGCTGGCCTGCGCGTCGACGCGGAGCCGGCGCAGCGCCTCGGAGCTCTCGCAGCGCGCGCACAGCGCCGCGGGGTCGACCGCGCCGTGGAGGCCACCCGTCCAGGCCGCGGCCGCGGCGCGCGAGAAGTGCGTCGGCGTCGGCCAGTCGAGGCCCCGCGCGAACGCGTCGAGCTCCTCCGGCGTCGTGATGTGTTGTATGCGCATGGCAAAACAATGCGAAGCGCGCTACCTTCTCAGCGAGCAAAACGAGGCGAGCCAAGTGCCCATAGCCTCGAGCTCGTGCTGCAACGTGGCTTCAACCTTAACCTCACGCGACGGCGCAGCTGCAGGGCTGGTCGACGGGCTCCTTCTGGACCTCGGCCGGGGCGTCGGCGGGCGGCGGGGCGGGCGCGGCGGGCGGCTTCTGGTCGGGCGGGAGCTTGTCCTTGTGCCGCATGTTGACGACGGTCTTCACCCGGCCCACGTCGGCCGTGAGGCCCACGGCCTCGATGGACGCCTCCTCCGCGAAGTCGTTGTCGTGGCCGTAGGAGGACGCGCGCTTGCTGTGCGCCTTCCCGCGGCCGCCGCGGCCGCGGCCGCGGCCTCGCCCGGCGCCCGGCGTCGTCGGCGCCGCGGGCGCGGGCGGCGGCGCGGCCGGCGGCGGCGCTGGCTCGCCGCCGTCGCTCTCGGCCGGCGGCGGCGCTGGCTCGCCGCTCTCCGCCGGCGGCGGCGCCGGCTCGCCGCCCTCCGCCGGCGGCGGCGCTGGCTCGCCGCTCTCCGCCGGCGGCGCCGGCTCGCCGCTCTCCGCCGGCGGCGCCGGCTCGCCGCTCTCCGCCGGCGGCGCCGGCGCCGGGGCCGGGTCGCCGCCGTCGCTCTCCGCCATCCGATGCTAGACCTTCGTTGGCACAGGACACATGCGCGGTCTCTACGACGTCTTTTCTATCCCACCATCACAGGGCTGCCCGAAGTTGCAGCCGCAGCTCCGAGGTCGATGCTGCCTGGAAGCACTTCGCCAAAGTTTTGGCTGCATGGGCTGTGGCAAGACGAGTGGCGGCAGCGTCGAGAAGTCCTCTACCATCGACACGCGATGGAGGTGGAGCTCGCGAGCGCGTCGTCGGGCCTGAAGCCCTTCAGCCTGAAGATCAAGCTCACGGACAAGTGGCTCGCCAAGAAGGCGCCGAGCCAGCTCGTGGCGCTCTTTTTGAAGCACTACGATGCCAAGTTCGGCGGCGCGTCGCGCGCCGGCGACTACGTGCTCGGCGCGCGCGGGGCGCCGGGGAGCCTCGACGAGGCGAAGCCCCTGCGCTGCGGCGTGACGCCCGGCGTCGCCCTCGAGCTGCGGGCCGCGGGCGCGGCGCCCGCGGCGCCCGCGCCCGCGGCGCCCGCGCCCAAGGCCGCGGCCGCGCGGAAGCCCGCGGCGGCCAAGGCGCCGGCCCCGGAGCCCCCGCGGGAGACGCGGAGCGCCGACGAGGCCTTCTCGTCGCTCTGCGCCCTCGACGAGGCCCTCGCGGGCGCGGAGTTCTCGCTCCGCACGTCGCTCATCTACCGCGTCGTCGAGGGCCTCGTTGAGCCCAAGCAGCTGCCCAAGGAGACGGCGCCGCACTACGCCGCCGTGCGCGCCCTCGTGCTCGAGACGAGCGCGGCGAACCTCGACGCGGCGATCCGGCGCTTCGCGGGCGGCGGCGACGGCCTCGGCGCGACGACGCTGCGGAAGCTCCGGAAGCAGCTCAAGCCCATGCGCTGGGCGCTGGCCAAGGAGGCCTGGTGCGCCAAGGCCTTCGTGGGCGCCGCGCCCGTGAAGCGCGCGCGGCTCCGGCGCTTCGAGAACCAGCACGAGCTCCCGCGGAGGGACGAGCTCCTCGAGCTCTTCGAGGTCGAGTGCGGCCCGCGGACGCGGTGGCGGCCCAAGTGGGCGCCGGAGTCGCGGCGCAAGGTCGTGCTCGACGGCCTGGGCCTGCGGGAGGAGGGCGACGAGCGCACGGTCTTCGACGCTTCCGCGCTGGCCGTGCCGGACCTGCTCCTGATCGCGACGGCCGCGGAGCGGCACGGCTGCGAGTTCGCGCCCTTCTCCTACTTCGTGCAGAACAACTACGACCCGCGCTACTGCCTCACGCACGAGGCCGTGCGCGAGCTCGCGACCTACCTCAAGGACCGCATCGCGATCAAGCCGCTCGGCTTCCGCGACGTCGCCGTCGAGATGAACGCGGGCAACGGCCGCCTCGCGTACTTCGTGCAGCGCGCGGGCCAGGGGAAGATCGCGAC